TACTAAAAAGGGGTCGCTCAGAAATCATCCCTAGACTTAAGGAACTGGATGCTTTAGAAAGTAACCTTGAGGAAATGTCCAAAGAAGATAAAGGCATTAGGGTATTAACTGTTTGACTGAAACATTTTTCAGGGCAAGTTTCGATGAGACGAGAAGCCATTTTTCTTCTCGATTTCTTTCTGTCCCAGACAAATCAATGAGAATTGATTTATACAACTTTTATAAGACCAGGTCTTCCCCTGTTGGTTGCTAGGTCCCATTAGGGGGAGAGGCGGTGAATGAAGGATAGACCCACTGCCCCCCATAACAAGCATGTCGTAAAAGGCAACAAAACAGGAATGTTTTATTCGAGGTCGAAGTGCATCAGTATGAGAGACGAGGAACAATTATTCCGCTAACAAATAACAAACAAAAAAATCAAAACATGTAGAATGAATCTTGACTGTTCTCTCCCCCAACCTTCCTCCACCCTCCCCCGCCCGCACCCCCCCCCCCTCTCTCTCTCTCTCCCCAAGCCTGTGTATTAGCAAGTCCCTCATATATCAGACACTGTTACCAATAGCTACAATAAAATCACAACATACTATCAACGATACTTAAGAGCCCTTGTCTGGACCCTCTCAGTGACAAAGAAGTAATCTCCCCCAAGCTTGTTGTTCCCTGTAACCATACGGTGCCCTCGCTGATATATGGATCCCGAAGCGGCATCGCGTCTGGAGAGACTGAAACCCAATCCTTGCAGGATTAGGGCTCGCACCTTGTTGTTTGCCGGACAAAATATTCTCGCCGTCTGCAGGGGCGTGGGTTTGGGCCCCAGAAGATGAAGGTGTGTGGGGGAAATGTGGGTTGTGTGGCAGATTATGGGATTAGTATGTCGGTGATGCGGGGTTATGGAATTAGGCTGGGGGTTTTGTATTTTGTTGGTGACGGGTTTATAGGCTATTTTTATGTGTGTTTTATTGTTTTGAATGTCATAGATTTGTGTGTACAGGCTCAGTTGTTGACGTTTACTGTCTAGACTGCAGTCGTGCAACGTGTAGAACCTAGCTGGGTATAGTGTAGGCAGCACTCGTGTAAAGTGTAGGCAGTAGTCATGTAAAGTGTAGGTGGTAGTCGTGTAAAATGCAGACAGTATTCGTGTAAAATTGAGACACTAGTCCTGTAAATTGTAGGCAGTGGTGGTGTAAAGTGTAGACAGTAGTCGTGTAAAGTGTAGGCAGTAGTCGTGTAAAGTGTAGGCAGTAGTCGTGTAAAGTGTAGGCATTGACAGTATAATGTTAGCCAGTTATCACGTAAGCTGTAGACCAAAGCTTTTGAGCCAAGTTTACGCGGAGGCAATCGTTTTGAAAATGGCGATCGTTACGTGACAGAGGCCTGAGCCACAATTCCTTTCTGACTTTACTCCTGTCGTATATTATCTTATTTCTTCTTCTTTTTCTTCCTTTTTTTTTTCGTTCGCACGAAACAGCTTATCTATATCTACAATATTGTCTGTAGTTGAACTTTACGGTCTTCATTCACTTTGGCTTCAACCGGTGTGTCTTCTGGCCAGAAGTTTTGCCTTCACATATTGTGTTTCAAACTGCTGAACGTAAAATTTGCCAAACAAAACCTCAAAAGCCACACACACACACACACACACACAAAATGCTGGAGATGATTTTACAAAGTCCTGACAGGCAACTGTAACTTATTTTGTATTATTTTTTTTTTAAATATTTTTTTTTATATTTGGGACCGTTTTGGAGGACATGATCTGTTTTTTTTTTCAGGTACCAATCTAGATGTGCATATGGCTGGTTCGCCGATCTGAAATGTTGTGTTCATGCGGTCGCGAAGCCGACTGTGTCCTTTTTTAGGGAGTAGAGTAATAACTTGCTCTGGTCTGCTCATAGTATGATAACCATCTTCTGTCTGTTTTGGCGGTTTTTCTGTTTGATTTGATTTGATTTGATTTGATTTGATTTGATTTGATTAGTCTCTTCTTCTGCTGATAAGAGACTGACACCTCAGGTATTATGTCGTTCAAACATAATTTAACAGATAATGATAAACATCAAAGACAACAACACAATCATCATCACCATTTCGTAACACTACGGGTCGTTGGGTCACCAATTGCTGTTGATTGTCTTATCCAGCTCCTCCACCTTTGGCTGTCAGATGCGATGAACTTCAAGGCTGCACAAAAATAGTAAATAATAATTGTAACTGCTATAACGTACTCGAATTAAACCTACCTTCTAAACCAAAATGTTAAGTAAATTATTTGTAATAAATCTAGAAATATAAAATATGCTTAACATACTATTACCTTCTACAGAGGTATGAAGATGACCACACAGGCAGGTGGACATTCAGACAGACAGACAAACTGACTAACAGACGGAGCCCGGGGAGGGACAGGCATACATACATACATACTGAAAGACCGATAGGGGGAAACGACAATCTATCCGAAACAGTATGCCATTTCGAAAACTGTTAACCTGGATGCCTATCTAATCTCCAGTCAATGATCCCCCATAAACCTGCCAAAATAAAGGCGACACAAATGATTTAACCAACATTTGCCCATCAATTTTATCCCGGCCGTTATTTTAACCAGTCACCTCGATAATCTCCTGTTATTTTCTGTCGCAAGATCCCCCTTTGGGAATACCTCAAGGAAAACACTTGCGTCAACTAATAAAAATTAGTGAACTTCGATCCATAGTTTTGAGACTCGCGATCACGCTCGGAATTTGACTAGTTCGCCCCGAGTTAAATAACCTACCAAATGTAGTGTCAGTGCGGCCGAGACAGTTGCCAGTACAACAATCGCCGGAGTCGAATCATCATTTCCTTCAGGGTGTTTTGAACTGCCGCGAGCAGTAATTGGCTTTCTAATCTTACAGTCCACGGTTAACGCCTTCTGAATGACCACTGACCGCGGGCGATCATTAAACAGTGGTCAGTGATAGAGAGCTGGGGATATCATGGCTGGGCAAAGCCAGTTATAGTTTAGGTAATTATTAGTCTCAATGTCTGGTAGCAATCGTGTTTATTTATTTGTTCACTTATCCACTTATGCAGTAATTAACTAATCGCTCAAGTGTTCAAAATATATTTACTTTGTTTTGTTAATTCGCCACTTGTTTATTGACCTCTATTGCGGAAGCCCACAAATGGGAACCATCCACTTGGGATACGCTACCTCATCACAGACTGGTACGAGAGCAACACGATGAGATTATGGGTGCTAAATATATAAGTGTCACTCAAAGGACCCTTTTCCACGCCTTCGGGCGTATCGGGCATATAGGGTTAGACCTATATTTTATAGACCAATCGGTACTCGGTCGTTGACGTGGTCAACGTCCCCCGGACCGTCTTTACTTCCCAGGACTGCAGCTGGTACCTACTTAAGGCTGGGTCGACCTTGGAACAAAAGTCCTTCTGAAGAAAGTCCGGCTCCGCCAGAAGCCAAACCCACGACCTTCGATCCACAGGCGAAAGTCTAGCAGCAACACCACATCGACTTCCATTTAACTTGAGATGATGTGATTACAAAATTTAACATGTACTAATGTTTGATTTGTTGATCAAAGTTTTTATATGGCTTCAAAGGTTCCCAAAGAGTCGCTTTGTATGTCTGTCTATCTTCCCATGAGGATGTGACAGAGGGCTCTCACCTGCGACACTAGAAAGGAGGATTCAGGCTTTCGAATGTAAATGCTATCAACAGATATGTCAGAGACAACATATACACATTTGCTCAAAGAACCTGAGCTGCCAAGTTCAGGCGCCTAGCTAGAAAGTGCTGTCTCCGAAGCCCACAGGACAAAGTGATTAGACTGAAACCATAGATGAGGTATATAATTAGATCTAAAGCCATGTATGTCACTGAAATGACGAGAGAGAGGTGGAAGAAAGAGAGAGGTGCGAGAAAGAGAGAGAGAGAGAGAGAGAGAGAGAGAGAGAGGGAGAGAGAGGTGTAGGAAAAGGGATAGAGAGAAAGAGAATGAGAGAGATATATAATATTTGGCGAGCAAGAACTAAAAGTTAAAGTTGAAAGAAGATAAATAATTATAGAGGCCATTGTAACGCCAATGACGTAACGAATGTATAATGCTGGACTAATCGGCACAGACTAAGTATTTAATTCTGAGGTCATTATCTGGTGCCCATTTGAGCCCAATGGGTCTGCGAGCCAAAGTTAGTTTTGGAAAACCTAAAAATTTCACCTCAATGCAACTGGAAACGAAGACCTTCTGGCCAAAAGACACCAACGGTTTAGCTCGAATTGGCTGTGGCTTTATTCTCCTAAGATGGACGAAGAGCGGAAGAGAAATACAAAGAGGAACTGCGTAGACACTCTGTTGAACATCATCAAGGGACGTCATAAATTCCATGAAATCATTATCGACTTGAAAGAGAAGGCCCATAACCGCCCTGACAATAGATGAAAATATACTAGATTTATTTTGACAATAACGAGTGACTTCCCATGGGATTTGGCAGTCAAGACACTGGCGACGACGCCGCTGCCTTTAGGTGAGAAATTACCACCACACTTAGGGCTCAGAGGCGCAGGTGTGATTGATTTCTGGAGACGAATTCCCCAGGTAAAGCGCATTCTTCAAGGACTGTTATTGTCAGGTGGTTCTACAGGGAATTGGGGCTGAGGCTTTGATCATAGCCGATGTATGACAGGCCGATGATGGGAGACGAGCCTTGCGGATTTATGTTGATGCGTGTCTCAGCGGGTGACTAGGATGTTTGGACACTGGTCTACCTGGGGAAGACACGGCTCTCACAGGTACTCTAGTGGGCCTTCAGCTGTTTCTCTATCAGAATTGGTTTCTCACATTAATACTTCACTGGTTCCGGTTGTTCTAAGTCAACTACCAAGTCAAGTACCACGATCACCACCACCACCACCACTATCACCACTACCACGATCACCACCACCACCACCACTATCACCACTACCACGATCACCACCACCGCCACCACAGCCACCACCACCGCCACCACAGCCACCACCATCGCCACCACAGCCACCAACACCACAACCACCACAACCACCACAACCACCATCACCACCACCACAACCACAACCACCACCACAACCACCACCACAACCACCGCCACCACCACCACCACCACCACCACCACCACAACCACCATCACCACCACCACCACCATCACTACCATCACCACCACCACCGCCACCACCGCCACCACCACCACCACCACCACCACCACCACCATGACCACCACCACCGCCACCACTACTAATGCAACTGATAATGACACCATGACCTTTCTAACCACCACTACAAACAATATTAACGTAGTTGCGTATCCTTTACAGGACGTTGCAGAACCAACACCAACAGCTCCTGGCTGTTGTGTGGTTTGTCTAGGCAAATTTTCGTCAAGTAGTTTGCCATTGCTTCTAGACGGTCGGCTTTCTAGATACCACTGTCGAAACCAACGCAAAGCGCATGACCCGCAGCTGGGATCGAACCTGGCACCCCGGCATTACGAAGCGTTCGCATCTACTTAGCCACAGACCGACTACTAACAATATTACCACTGCTATAAAAACTACTACCATCACCATTACTATCATCTGTGTTACCACTAAAGTTTCCACCACCACTGCTACTGATGAGGATACTACTACTAATCTGTTGATGCTGCTACTGCTGCTGCTATTACTACTTCTACTACTATGCTACTGCTGCTGCTATCACTACTTATATTAATAAGCCACTACTGCAACTGTTTCTACTACTATGTTACTGCTACTATTGCTGCTATTATTTCTACTACTATGTTACTGCTACTATTGCTGCTATTATTTCTACTACTATGTTACTGCTACTATTGCTGCTATTATTTCTACTACTATGCTGTGCTGCAATTAATGCTGATTCACCTGACACTGTTACTAACTTTGTAGCTATTAATTATTACAGCTGCTACTACTACTACTATCATCTTCACAGTCCCCACTTCCAAAAAGATTATATTTTATTCTATTAGCCAGGGTTAATGAACGACTGCTTACCTCATCCTGTAGAACGTAAATATGCAAAATCCAACCAATCATGACCTTATGTACAAGAGGTTTGGTGTTGCTTTGTCAGAGACCTGTGCTCCATTGGGAGATCACGAGGAAATCAACAGCAAGAGAGAAAAGGTGGATCAAAAACAGAAGAAGAAGATGAAGAAGAAGAAGAAGAAAAAGAAGAAGAAGAAGAAGAAGAAGAAAACAAGGGAGAAAGACAGAAAGACAGAAAAAAGGGAAAGAAAGAAAGAAAGAAAGAAAGAAAGAAAGAAAGAAAGAAAGAAAGAAAGAAAGAAAGAAAGAAAGAAAGAAAGAAAGAAAGAAAGAAAGAAAGAAAGAAAGAAAGAAAGAAAGAAAGAAAGAAAGAAAGAAAGAAAGAAAGAAAGAAAGAAAGAAAGAAAGAAAGAAAGAAAGAAAGAAAGAAAGAAAGAAAGAAAGAAAGAAAGAAAGAAAGAAAGAAGGAAAGAACAAGTATAAGGAGAAGGCACCCCCCCCCCCCTCCTTCCCCGCCTTCTCCTTATACTTTTTCTTACCCCCCCCCCCCCCCCACTCCTCCCCTCCCGATAATAATAAAAAATAATAAGAAGTATAACAAGGTCAAGAAGACTGACTCTGAAAATGGACCTATCTCAATACTCACAAGGTTCTTCTACTAATGTTGCCAAATATTCAACCTATAAAATCAACACGGCTTCATGGACGCCAAACTTTCTTATTCAACGTGATCCAGTCAACAGTTTAGCCGTACTGACGATAATAATAAGCAAACGTTGAGCTGTTTGTGTTATATTTCTACCCTATCTATTATATATTATCCAAATTAAGCTGATCATGAAGAGCCGGTTCCGCCATTTTACACCCCACTTCTCTCTCACACACAATATACCGTTAGCCAAAGGGAGCTCGGAGAGAGACACACACCCCACGTTCAACAGAAAGAAAAACAATTTTCCATCTTTCATCACGTTTTGGTCCCTCAGCGGCAAATGTTTTTATTTAATGTCACACTAGAACGATCGCTTTGTTCTTGTGTGTCTGTTATATAGTTGCTCAACGAACCATTATGACCCAACAGGCAGCCATATTGTCCCCGGTGACAGCTCAAATAGTGCCCTCCGTATATAATTGTTTCCATCGGCGTATATACAATTGCTATAATGGTCAAGAGAACAACAGTGTCATCTCAACTAAAGTCACCCACTTTTTTCTATCCTTTCTCCTTAAAAGGGTACTTAGTAGTGAAAATGTTTGCATAGCAACTGTTGTTTGTTTGGGGTGGGAACTATTATACTTTGACCCCGGGAACAAATGGAGGTGGGGTCAAAACCTGGAGCTAACCAACTGAGTGCTGACATCTGGAGGTTAATGACAATTTGATAGCTGGGTCGGTCGCAGGTTTTCCCCGTCTACTGTCTCCTTGTGCCACTGTCAGACAGGTCTTTGACTCCCGGATCAGCAGCCTCAGCACTAGATCCCCCGTCCAGGTCTGCTGTCATCGAATAATTACATTCCGACACACTTAATTGTATGTAAATTATGGTCTGTTTTTGTTTGTCAGACAAAGTTGTGTACCCTTAGCTCCGATCTCGCGGCTTCACCTTGGTTATGCAATCAGGTCTTGTCAACATTAAAACTTCATTCGTTGTCCTAACTGTATTTGTTCAGGATATTTCACAGATGGCATTTTTATTCATGTGAATGTATTTTTGTTTAAAACCAAAAACTCAAGCAAGCAAAAGACAACAAGAGAACAAAATCATCCAGTCAGAAAATGGAAGCAGAGATAGAAGATGTAATCAAGTTGATCTTATCATTGGGCAGGTGTTACCTATTGTGCAAATTCACTGACACCAGAAGAGCCCTATTCAATGCAGTATTTCTTTTAAGAACAGTGTGCTACCAGTGCCAATCGTGGACATTAAAAACGAAATAAATTTTTTTTTTCAGACAACAGACATAAAATGTTTGCGACTAATTCTAAAGGTAACTAGAGAAGACAGGATTAGAAATTAAGACATCGGGAAAGAAGTTGGGATGGAACTAACACTAAATTTGATCATGAGGCAACAGATCAAATGGTTCGGACATGTGTCAAAAGCAGCAGCAGACAGTGGGTCACAGAAAGCCCGGTCACTGAGACAGAACGGGATGTTATGTCCGAGGCTGTAAATACCAGCATCTATGTAGCACATAAACGAGCATCAATGTAGCACATAAACCAGTATCACTGTAGCACATAAACGAGCATCTATGTAGCACATAAACGAGTATAAATGTAGCACATAAACGGGCATCAATGTAGCACATAAACAAGCATCAATATAGCACATAAATAGCATCTATGTACCACATAGACCCGCATCTATGTAGCACATAGACCAGCATCTATGTAGCACACAGACCAGCATCTGTGTAGCACATAGACCAGCATCTGTGTAGCACATAGACCAGCATCTATGTAGCACATAAACCAGCATCAATGAAGCACATAAACGAGCATCAATGTAGCACATAGACCAGCATCTATGTAGCACATAAACCAGCATCAATGTAGCACATAATCCAGCATCAATGTAGCACATAAACCAGCATAAATGTAGCACATAAACCAGCATCTATGTACCACATAGACCCGCATCTATGTTGCACATAGACCAGCATCTATGTAGCACATAGACAAGCATCTGTGTAGCACATAGACCAGCATCTATGTAGCGCATAAACCAGCATCTATGTAGCACATAAACCAGCATCTATGTAGCACATAAACCAGCATCTATGTAGCACATAGACCAGCATCTATGTAGCACATAGACCAGGATCTGTGTAGCACATAAACCAGCATCTATTTAGCACATAGACCAGCATCTATGTAGCACATAGACCATCATCTATGTAGCACATAAACCAGCATCAATGTAGCACATATACCAGCATCTATGTAGCACATAAACCAGCATCAATGTAGCACATAAACCAACATCAATGAAGCACATAAACCAGCATCAATGTAGCACATAAATGAGCATCAGTGTAGCACATAATCCAGCTTCTATGTAACACATAGACCCGCATCTATGTAGCACATAGACCAGCATCTATGTAGCACATAGACCAGCATCTGTGTAGCACATAGACCAGCATCTATGTATCCCATAAACCAGCATCTATGTAGCACATAAACCAGCATCTATGTAGCACATAAACCAGCATCTATGTAGCACATAAACCAGCATCTATGTAGCACATAAACCAGCATCTATGTAGCACATAAACCAGCATCTATGTAGCACATAAACCAGCATATATGTAGCACATAAACCAGCATCTATTTAGCACATAAACCAGCATCTATGTAGCACATAAACCAGCATCTATGTAGCAGATAGACCAGCATCTATGTAGCACATCAACCAGCATCTATGTAGCACATAAACCAGCATCTATGTAGCAGATAGACCAGCATCTATGTAGCACATCAACCAGTATCTATGTAGCACATAAATTAACATCTATGTAGCACATAAACTATCACAGAATCACCAAACAGGCATCAACATGGGAAAAGACTGGATTATGGAGGTAAGGACGCCCAACAGAAACCCTAAGACCAGGGGTAATGACAAAGGCCAAAGCTGCTGGACATGAGTCTGTCCGTGATATTGAAGTGCTTGCACTTGATAAAAGGATGGAATAGCTTGCAAGCCCCAAGTAACATCTAATGGCACAGCGGGATAATCAGTGAATGAATGTAATGCGGCACACTTCAAGGCTCTCACCTGACGCCTCTTCAAAACCTGACGCTACAAAGTAGAGCCGCGCTGGTGAACAAGGAAAACATTGTATATTGTGTGTTATTAAAAATAGTGTTCAAAATGTTTTTCCTCTTCTAAACGTTCACCAGCTGTAAACTGCGGTGGAAAGTTCTGATCGTTCCTCCACCTTTGGAATTTAGTCATGCTCCAGACCCTGTACTACTGCGTCTACCTAAGTCCGCTTTACGAATCTGGCTTATATCTATGCAGACTTTTGGTTTCTTGCCTCTCAAGCAAATGCACTGCGACTTCGAAAGAAACTCCCAGTTAATCGACTCCTACGACATGCTTGTTGTGAAGTCAGGGGGTCTACTGTTTATCCCACAATGCGGACAGCGGACCCTA